AAGCATGTTCCTCAGCAGGTGAGTGGGTCTGGCTGACCACCCAGCACCTATTCTTCAGCTTTACTGTACTCTGCTCACTCATCTTAAGTCCACTGGCATTACTAAATTGATTAAACACTTTGTTTCTCTGTGAAAAATGCCCCTAAGAACACAGCAACACCTTACAGTGGTTTCATGAATATGTTAATTCTGGTCTTAGGTAAAACTTTTGTATATTTTCCTTACATATTTTTATTAATCCAAATACGTTTCTAAGATGGTACAGTCACTATGGAAAATAACTTGGCAGTTCCTCAAAAAGTTAAACATAGAGTTACCATATGATCCAGCAATTCTACTGCTGAGTATATACACCCAAGAGAACTGAAAACACGTGTCCACACAGACATCTGTACGTGAATGTTCCTAGCAGCACCATGCATAATAGTCCCAAAATGGAAATAGCCCAGATGTCCACTGACTGACAAATGTATAAACTAAATGTGGTATGTCCATACAATGGAATATGACTGGGCAATAAAAGTAAATCCAGTACTGATACGTGCTGAGCATACACCATACAAGACGGGTAACCCTTAACCATACCATGCTGAGTGCAAGAAACCAGCCACAAAAGCCCACAATGCATGACTCCACCGATACATGAAATGTTCAGAACGGGCAGATCTATGGGAACAGAAAGTTGATTAGTGGCTGCCACGGGATGGGGGGTATGTGGGGAGTGAACATACGAGTACAGGTTTCTTACTGGAAATGATGCAAATGTTCTAAAATTGATAGTGGTGATGGTGGCCCAACTGTGAATACACTAAAGGCCAGTAAACTGAATACTTTAAATGGATGAATTGTATGATATGATGAATTATATCTTAAACTTTTAAAAATACCATACTACTCAAGAAAAACCGTCTCTGCAAACCAAGAGGACTTCTAGCGATCCATTTATTTTAAGGGGCATTTGAGAAATTTAAGAAAATAATGTACAGACTCATCTTTCTAATAAGGCTGTGAACGTGAAGAAGCATTTACTAATCCTATCATGTGGATTTTGTAAGTCTTCTATAAACACTGCAGTTGAAGTGTTTGTGAGGGAGTGGGAGTGCCGCGCTCAGAAGTGCCCAACCAGGAGATGGGGAACTACCTCTCCCTCCTTCTTGCCCACCCTCCTCTGCTCTCCCCAAAGCCTTAGGAAGCTCTCACCTGCTTCCCAACTGGTCTCCTCTCTTAATTTCTTTTTCAAGAATATGTTAATATAAACATTGTCTGTAGAACTTTTGTATTTTGCTCTTATATATTTTAACTAACCTTAAGTTGTTTCTAAAACGGTGCAGCCACTATGGAAAAAGAGTTTGGCAGGTCCTCAAAAAGTTAAACATGGAGTTAACCCTATGACCCAGCAATTCCACTCGCTTTATATTGTGTTTAGTTTCTATATGAAATTTTCCATAATAAAAGAAAAACGAAAACAAAAATGAAACTTTATTTGCTCTGCTGGCCCTCCAAAATACCGTTCAAGTTCCTTAGCTACCTGCCATTTGCAGCCTGCCTTTATAATCTGGCCCCAGCCTCTTTCTCCAGCCTCATCTCGCAGATCCTCTCTGCCCCACTCACTGCAAACACACCACACTTACACTCCAACTACTCACCCTTCCCAAGTATGTTTCCACGTCGCAGCACCTGCTGTTCCCTTGGCTACAATACCCTCTCCCCCTTCATGGCTTGTAGGCTATTATTTCTCACGCAGGACCCAGGTCCATGCCCCTAAGCAAACTTCATCACTCCTCACCAAGCTGCTATACCCCTTCCTTACCACTACAAAGTCAGCGTGCGTGCGTGCGTGCGTGCGTGCGTGCGTGTGTGTGTGTGTGTAAAATCATGCAAGAGATTCCCATTCACAGCCTGGGAATTCTTAAAGGGCAAGGAACCCCCTGGATCTAGCATATAAAAGGTGCTCAAGAAATATCTGCAAAAGATAGATACAAAGATAGACTTAATTAAATAGACTCTCTAAAAATTATATGATTGATACCACAAACTAATTTGGGGGCCAGATATAAAGAAACCATCAATGAGAACGGCTTCCTTCGTGTCAATATAATCATGTGTATTATGTGTTTTAGGGATACATAAACAGGAACCAAAGCATACTGCTTATTATGACAAGGCGCTTATACTGATTTGCATTTCTCTACAGAACTCTCTAGGCATATAATTTTGTTAATTTGTAACAAACCTCAAAAACACACTTACCACCAATACTCTGATTGCAATATATACTTTCAAAGAAGACAGAAATCACCAAGTTCCTTTCAAAAGCTTCCAACTGGGTCTTATGTGTGTTATTTAGTTTGGTTTGTTTTAAATTTGGGGATTTTAATGCAGATCGTAATTTATAATTTCATCTGGACCTACGGGAAGAAGAGTTTCACGAGGATGTTCAAGAACCTGACATGGGCTTCTTTTGAAGGACTGCCAATGAATGCATGACCTTGAGAAAATTATTTGATCTGAGACTCAGTTTCCTCCTCAGTCAAATTAGAATATTTTCTACCTCAAGAGGTGGTGAAGCTTTTAAAAAGCAAAAACTTTGAAAACATGGTTTCTCTTTCTTCTCTCCCTGAATACATCAGTTGAAAAAGATGACGCCTGTGCGAGCTCAAATCAGTCAGCAGCTAACTTTGGTAGCAAGCACTTTGTAGAACATGGGCCAGTTTTAAGAAAAGTAATATATCAAAAATGGCCTCATCCTTCAAATTTGGACCATGTACCCCTGGCCTCACTCAACTATCACCCACTGATCTGGATCAAAAGTTAAACCTGTTTGTCTTGTTCCCGTTTTAATTGACACCTGCAAGAGAAAGAAGAGACTGTAGCAATCTGGGGAACTCTGCCTTGTGAATGGTATCAAATTTCAAACTGACAAGTAAACACCAGAAAAGCAAAACAGTAGATAGCCAAGACTTCGGTTCTAGGCCCTGCTCTTTCAGGATCACTGGGTGATTAATTACTAACCAATCCAGGCCTCAGGTTCCCCATGTGTGAATGCAGGGCACTGAGTAGGACTCCCCAACAGTGATGAGAGCAGTTGCCACCTGCTGAGTGTGTGTGCACCATGCTCTATACCAGGCCTATCCTCACAACCCCACATGCTTATATTATTGTCCCATCTTACAAATGAGGAAACTGAGGCCTCAGAGACATTCAGAAACTTGCCTAAGCTTATACAGCTAATAATACGAAGTAAACTTCTGTCTGACTCTAAAACCAGACTGAGACCAAAAAATGACCTTGGCATCGTTGATAATGATATCTCCAAGGTGCTTTCAAATTCCATGAATCTAGGCAATGAAGAATTGCTCTGATGGTATTTTCTTTATTACGTCCACAGAGAGGCTCATTGCGTGTACTCTAAACTAGTTTGCAATTACTTATGTAAAACTGTCTCCTCCACAACCCAAAAGGATCCTTGAGGTAAGATTCGTATCTGTGTCCTCTATTGAGCCCTATAAGACATATTGAATATATTCGGACTCAATAAAACTGAAGTAAATGAAATGGAATGAAAAAGAAAAGAGGGAGTCTTCTTTGCATTAACTGCATTGAAAAGTGGGCAGCAAGCTAAGCTGAGAGAACTCCGGTGAGTACTTAGTATCTGGGTGCCCTTGAGCAAGTTACTTAACCTCTCTGAGCTGCAGTTGCCTCATCTATAAAAGGATCTAATAGCTGTACAACATGGTTAGCATGAGTAATAAATCTGATATCCAGAACAGTTACCCCCTTCTGCAACAAAGATGTGAGTGACCTGGATAACAGGTATTTTTATCATTTTCAATCACAGCTGTCTTCTTTAGTTGGTTTTTTTCCTGGGCTGTCAAAAGATACAGAGAAGAGACGATGCTAAAACCGACCGTTTGCCCAAATCCTCTCCCGCCCTTCTAAGGTGTCTTTGTCTTTCTTTTAAGATGCTATGGTCACCTTCCTTTCCAAGGGGGAGGGAATGCAGCCACCAAAGGCTGCTGAGGCTGCTACACTGTAACTTTCCCAGACCAGAACACCTGCCCCTGCTCTTCTTCAGCTAATGGGAAACATTTGTGTTCCCTCGGCCTCGTTTTTGCTTAGGATTTTCCTCACCATTTTTTCTCCTCAAATATTTCAGGCAACTCTGCCACCAAAAAATGAAGGAATATTCTACAGAACCATTAATGAGTGAGGGCACTGGGAAGGAAGGGAAGTTACTACTCTTACTATGAATATTATCAGCAACATAATACCTGATAACGATACTGTGCTTTTTAACTTCGCAAAGTGCTTTCAGATCCATGATGTGATCTGAGTGTCCTCACACATGGGTGTCACTAGGTTTGCTTGGTTCTTTTACAGATCAGGGAACTGAAGCCGGGGAAAGGTTAAATAATTTCTGCCCACATCACACCTATCTTAGCTTTATGTCAAGATGCAAACCCATCTGTGAGTGAATTCAAAGCTTGTATTGTTTCTACAGATACTTTGCCAAGCTAACTTTACTCTTTTAAAGGCTCTGTTGGGGGATCTAATTTATTCCATTCACTTTTTACTCATACACAAACTTTAGTATCTCAAAAGAAAATATTTATAGAGTTAACACCTCATTTATCCAAAGTGGTCAGTGAGCTGGCAACTTCGACTACCTAGAACTCAGTTCGGAACCCGGAAATAAAAACAAATCCCAGCCTCTGAGCAATTAGGAGACACCACCAAGTCCTTGCGCTAAAAATCACAGGAGGCCTCGGGGTGGCACCCAGAGGTAATTTTTTCTTTTGAAAGAACTGTAACAGAATTGATTGTCTTTACTGAGAAAGACAGGTGCACTGGCCACAAATGGGGGGAAAAAGTAAGCACAATCTAACAATGTGGAAAGTGCCAGAACACTCAGTGCAGGGACAAAAAGCCCTCTACGTAAGTCAATTGCCCTTAAGATATCAGCTGTTAAATAGCATACAGATTCTTACACTGGCCTGATAAGAATCACTAGAAATTTGTATAAAATACAGAATCCCAGGCACTGGCCCAAGGCCTACAGAATCTGACTCTCCCAGGAAGGGGTCTGAGACACCAGATGGCTCTCCTTATTAGGTGAATTTGTGTAGTACTGACAGAGTAGGTATCCCCAAAATAGATTCTTACTCCTCAAATAGTGCGTACTGAACTGAACTCACACACAGGGCAGGGTTTCTCAGTAAATGTAACTGCCTGCTGACTATGGGCTCGTTAGCATCATCCGGTGACCAGCTGCGCTTGCCAGCCCAAACAACTGCACAGGAAGGGAGAAAGAATCCGAAATGCACAGGAAATCCAAAGGGCTAAAAGTGGAAAAGGCCACCAGCCCTGGCTTTAGCAGTCTCCCCCAAAGGCCGCTACACACCCCCATGGTATGTCTCTTAAGTATATGAGAAAGTTACGAGAGAAGGAGCAAAGCCAAATCCTAGCCATTCTGGACAATGAGAATATAGGACAGTGAGCTGGGCTTACCTACTAAATGGAGGTTCCCTTCTTTATTTCCATCCATGCAGGATGCTCAGCTAGGCGGTTTCAGTTGATTAATGAAAATCTGTTTCTATATTCTGTGGTTCACATGGTAGATTACGGTATCAAAACCTACTGAGTTATCAAAAACACATACCTAAGTGAATATAATAAATGACCAAAGGAAAGAAGGTAAGTCATCTTGTTTACTGGTTTGCTTGTGATTACTGTAAATTTCAGGGGGCAGGTGAAAGGGCACATCCGGCTAAGGAAAAATCTAGCCAGTTTCTCAGCATACTGGATGAACTAGGAAAAGTGCTTACTGTCTCTCCAGAAGAAACACCAATGTAAGCACATTGTCAGCACCCCTTCCTGGGGATGAAATGTAACAACCTGTTCCAAGAGAAGTAGTTACTGGGTTACTGGGTTTCTATATCACACCACCTACCAGCACAGACCCATAAAATTGTTAGAGCTAGAGGGGGTCTGAGAGGTTATCTAGTCCCTTCCCTTTGTTGCAATGATAAGGAAACAAAGGCCCAGAAAAGTCAAGTGAATTTTCCCAAAGCCACACAGCCATGCAGTGGAAGTACAAGACCAGAACTCACTTTTCTAGGCTCCTCGTTGTGAGGATTCAATGAGGTAATGTACAGTGAAGAGCTAAACAGACAGTCGACAATGTGAAGGTCATTCCTCTCTTCTTGAAATCGGTCACAGGCTGTTGCATAGCGGCTGCTAGACATCGGACATAATCTCGCCCAACCAGCCGTTATACCAATGGAAAAAAACCTGAGACACATAGAAAGCCTAGTTATCCACAACCATGCAACTAGATGGTGGCACTGGATGGCCTGGAATCTGAAGTTTCTGGCTCCAAATAGCCCATTCTCTTCACTACACAACACTGCCTCCCTCTCACTATTAAAAGTGACTAGTTTAATAACACATGATGATTTTATGTATCTCGTTTTTGGAACCAGTGCTAGAATTATATCCCAACCATTTAATTGCAAATTGAGAAATGTCCAAAAACATTCCAGAAACAATAAATTACATAGCAGGGTTGCTGACTATCCAAATTCAACATTTCTACCTGTTTGAAGCTCTTTCCCTTTGCCTCATGACCCTCCATCCATTGACCTTGTTTTCTGATGGGGAATGGAACAGGAGTCAGGACCTTCAGACCAACCTGACCACCACCTGTTTCCTTAAACACCTACCATAAGCTCAGTTAACCTACCTCCTGGTATCAAGAGCCAAATGAAGAACAGTCTTTCTGAACAAAGGAACTTTCTCTAAAGAGGATTAGATGGTGCCCTGGCAGGGTGGCTCAGTTGGTTAGAGCTTCGGGTTGCGGGTTCTATCTCCAGTCAGGGCACACACAAGAATCCAAACAATGAATGCACAAGTAAGTGGGACAACAAATATCTCTCCCCCCCAAACACACTCCCCTCTCTAGATAAATAAATAAATAAATAAATAATAAATAAATAAATAATAAATAGATAAATAACTTCAAGAATCTACCTTAAAAAAAAAGACAATTAGGTGGTAATCTAGGGCTCAAGAATTCTGCTAACGTTTAGATCAACAATGAATGGAAAGCATCTGTCCTCAACTAACTGGGCAAATGTGCAATTCAGCTATTTGAAATGAATGGTTTATGGTCTTTACTATAACATCATTACTGAGAGTTTATTTCATGGTCTCATCTACCAATCAGACACAATATATGAAGACAACCACAAAACCTTCATCCAGGATTCCAGATTATGAATCCCTTGCATTTGTCCAAGTCTTGAGAGATGACAAAATAAGCTTCACATCCAGTATTTCTTCTGATCCTCGCAGCAACGTAGTGGCCATTCTCATCACCATTTTGCACATGAGCCAAATGAACTCAGTGGATGAAGGGCCTTGAACAAGGTCCGCAGGACAAATAACTGGACCTGTCTACAACTGCCTACCCAGCAAAGTGCATGGGTTGGAGGGAGGCACTCACTATGTACCTAGGGAGGGGAATTGGGCAGAGGGAAGGTCCAGCACAGAAACAGCAGCTCAATGTGGACTTACCAAATCTCTGCACTGGAACCATTGTCTTATAGGGTAAAAGCTGCCCTCAAAATCTGGTTATACTTAGTACTAGAACTAGCCCCAAATCAAAACAACACCATAAGCAAAAAGGCCATACCACTGACCAGAAGAGTTGAACAGCCTTTATCCATCTGCTTAGGTGCAGATGGATACCTAGGAAATGCGGAGAGGCAGGATTTTCTACACATTGAGCTTCAGGACTTTCTGATGAGATCTGAGTTTCAGGATTCTTCATATAGTACAGGAGAGGGGGATGGACTCCAGTCACGCTCACTGAGAATTAGGGATCAACCCAAATCAACTTCAGTATGAATCTTAGTCCTTCCCTTCTCTGGCACTTGGTTTTCTCATCTATAAAATGGGCCTAATCTCTTCATGAGGGTTTCAGTGAAGAATACATAAACTAATTTACATAAAAAGAGGCAAACAATAGTAGATGCACCTCCCTCGCCTGAGAATACTCTCTGCTGTTCTCATAAAAACTCACACACCAATGCACAGAAAACAGGAGGAAAACAATTTCAAAAAACTACCATGCAAAGATTCATAACTGTGTTTATAAAAGCAATCAGTCGGTGAAGGTGAAAATAGCTGTTCAATGGGAGGTAAACTCCCATTGGTGTTCACTGACACCAGATTCTCTTGGCCTTCAAATAAGAGTGGACTTTTGGGGGTTTTTCACCAAGAATTTAACATTCCAAAAAGGTATGTGGAACAAGTTAAACTGCTTGTACATTTCCACTTACATAACACTTATCTAGTATATGAGCTTTTCTTTTTTCCAGATATAAGATGAAGCTTGGTATATATCTCTGTGAGAGACTAAACAGAAAACTATGTCTCTCTTTTTAATATATTAGTGTCCTGTAATCCAGACCATATGATCAATAAACTATATAAAAATTAAGTCATACCGACAGTCTTAAGCAAAAAGTGAAGCAAGTAGAAACAACTTTTTTTTAAGGAATGTGTTATATGGAATATTAAAATCACATGTTGTGTTATTAATTTTCTTTTAGAGGCCAAATAGAGTTCTCTTGCATAAATTTCTCAAGTAAATATTTACCTTACAGTGTTTCCCATAAAAGTTGTTAGAGGCATTAAATTAGTGGTATTGTAATTAGGCCTATGAATAGTGTTGGCATTGATTATAAGTCACTTTGAAAATGACTCAGTTGACATGGCTTTAATGGCAAGGCACATACATTAAATAGATAGCTATGTGCTTCTTATAATAAAATACAAGGTATTGTTATCACTACTGTTTTAAGGTAAACAAAACCACTTATTCAAACAGGCCAACAGTGAGTAAACATAATGAACAACTAGGTTTAAGATATAAGCTTTTGGGAGGAATATTGGGGCAGATGAAACATACACCTTCCATGCACAACAGAGCAGCTTGGAGTTTCTGTGTCCCTGCTGCAATAGAGCTGATAGGTGTGTCTTTTCACAAATTCCTTCACACTCTTTCTCTTTTAATAATAATATACCATCTCTTGGGCCTGGAGGAGGACAGCAATGAGGCTGCGCCAAGGCTGTCAAGCGTGTTCTGGCTGGGCTTTCCCAATCACAAGGTAGAAGGTAGGAGGATACACTGCACCGGCTGGCAAGGAAGAGCTCACCCTACCAGCAACCAAACGCACCAGTCAATGCTGGAAGCTCCAGGCAAGTTTACAGCAAACAGCTTCAACGTGTTTAGCGCTTCCTGGTTCTCCCCCAGGACCCGGGAGAGTCATTTAAAAATTCAATAGCTTGGCAAAGAAAGTACTAATCTTCCCACTGTGCATGACAATAAACCAGCCACCTTCAGGAAGGTAGGCCCCCCAGTGACAAGTCCTTTACATAGCATCTTACTGTTGAATTTCCATGAAGAGGTGGGAATGGGATTTGCAGTCAGCTTTCTTCCTTTGCACAGAACACAGTTTTACCCTAAACCCTCTCTCCATATCTAAAAGGGGGCCATTCTTGTTTTTAAACTCTAAGAGCCCCATCTTTCTTTGACTCTGAAAATTTACTATAGACAGGCAAGCCAAGGAGGTACGGACCTCAGGAAGGAGCCTGCTACAAAAAGTCATGAACGGAGGCAATGTGCACAATCGGCCTGGACAAATCTATTTCAAAGGGGACTCAAATCTCCGTGCAGGAGTTCTATTTAAGGGAACTGAAGCGGGAACACAGATGTTTCTCAGTTAGCAGAGTTGGCAGAACAGCTCCTGGCCTAAATCCGAGTTCTTAATGCAGGAAGGGGCCTTGGAGAGCATCTAGTTGAACCACTCACTCAACTGATGAGGAAACTGAGGCCAATGAGGCAGTTAGGTGGCACACCCAACAAGTGGCAGAGTGGCAGTGTTCTGATGACAAGTCCTGCATGCTTTCCATTACACCATGATTCGCTTTAAAAAAATTCTACGCTGACTTCAACCTTGGAACTCCTGTAGATTCGTGTCAATAGCTTTTTCCCTCCCCGCAGAGTTCATAAATCCTTACTCTCCCACTCCAATTCCTTTCACTCCCACAGCCCTTCCAACTAGTTTGATAAACAGACGTGGACTATCCCTCCAAATTTCTGGGGTGCATTCATCGTGGTCCCAAAACTTGACCGTGGTTTGCTTTCCCAGTGCCTCAGTTTCCCCGTCGGTGAAATGGGACTCCTCACCCGAAATGCACCGAGCCAGGGAGAGAGCTAGTTACACTTACCACCTGGCACACAGTAGGCGCCTAAGAAATGACTGCATAATACGCACCCCACAAGCCCCTACGGAGCACCTTCCAAAGCCCTGGGGGCGTTGAGGAGAGAGGAGCAAATGGAAAGGCGTTTGCAGGTCCGGCCGGGCCGGGCAGCGACGGCGGAAGGGGCTGGATGTTTACATACAGTCAGGGGAAGGCGGCCGGGCTGCGGGCGGGAGCCCGGCGCTCCCGCAGATCCGTTTTACTCGGATGGAGGGCAACGAGCTACGCGCTGGCTCTAAAGCGTGGCTCACCCAGCTCCCCCTATTCTGAAAGGAGGGACCCACATGTGCCAGGGGATTCCACCTGGGCTTCCCAGTGCAGAGGGCTTCTAAGGAGCATGTTTACAGTTGCCCGCGAAAGCCTGCGCCCGCCCAAACATTCATGCGCAGGCCGGGAGGTCGGTGGGATGGGGTCGGGCGCGGGCCAGGGGCCAGCAGGGGAGCGAAGGATCCTGGAGAGGCTGCGGGGGCCTCCCGGGGCTGAC